GTGGATGGGGGCGCACAGGTACAGCAGGTGGTCAACATCGAGTGCGTGTCTGACTTCACTGAGGCGCCAGTCCTCAACATCCAGTTCAGGTAGGAGCCCTAGGGGTGGCGCCCACTACCTGGCAGGCGTCCCAAATCCTGGCTCAGGACTGGAGCTCCAGGGGCTGGAGCGGGGCCTGCATGCAGCTGTGTCCCTGGGAGCCACTTGTCCTTCTCAGCCTCAGTGTCCCTCCTTCAGAGGCTGTGCTGAGGATGGGGCAGGGGGACCCAGTGGGTGCTGATGTGGCCATGAGCACTGCAGCCATGGGGACTGATGGCGAGCCTGGGGTCTGCAAGGCTGGCATGGTCCAGCCCCATGGTCCTTTTGGTGTGCCATGTTCAAGGCCCTGTGCTCTTGAGCCAATGGTCAGGGGCCTCTCCCGTGGGGTTGGGGCCAATGGGTTCCGTGTGCTGCTCACTGCTCAGCTGGCTTTTCCAAATCAGCCACAGAGGGTGGGTCCCCCCAGATCCTCATTGGACTGGCACATGTTCACAGTTGTGCTTGGAGTGTGCATGCTGTTTTGGTTGTTTTTTTTAAGCTATTATCTCTGGTGGTGGTACTGGTTCATCACTGTCATTTTTCAGCGATTGCAATAGAGTGGGCATGGTCAGCCAGCTCTCTGCTGGGTGTATGGTTGAACTTCTGGAAAAGCACGTTTTCAAACGTTAAATGAACAGAATGGAAGGTCATATAATTTGTAGAATTTAGGAAACTAGTCAAGTGTTTATTGCCTGCTGTAGACATCTTTTTTTCAGTCTTTTTATGGAAAAAAGAGAAAAAACCACCATAGTTTAAAGTAACGTGGAGTCGTAGGATATGGACTGAAGGGGAAAGTCGTGTCCTGAGGTCGGGGCATCCTGCCCGAGGCTGGTCGTGGGGTGTGGTCGGCCCACAGCACTCAGCTAGAGGAGTGCGTTCCCTGACGGGCCCGAGAGCGGTGTAGGGCTGGTGAGCCGGCCTTCTGGTCAGTGATGGTGCGCACTGGGGCAGAGTGGGCCCTGCACAACTGCCCACCCTTGCTGACAGGACAGCCCTCCCTGGCCTTGGAGGCCCATGTGCAGCGGGGCTGGCTTCCCAGCTGGGTTCCTGGGCCTCTGGCTGTTGAGAGGCAGAGCTCAGCCCATCTGTGCTGCTTGTAGGTATGGAGGAACCTTCCAGAATGTGTCCGTCAAGCTGCCCATCACACTCAACAAATTTTTCCAGCCCACAGAGATGGCTTCTCAGGGTTTCTTTCAGCGCTGGAAGCAGCTGAGCAGGTACGCCGGCTGTCCTGTGGGGTGGGGGTGCGGGGAGGCTGGACTTGTGATCTTGGACTCAACTGAGGGTGTGACACTGGCCTTTGTGTCTCACAGTCCCCAACAAGAAGTGCAGAACATTTTCAAGGCGAAGCATCCAATGGACACAGAGATCACCAAAGCCAAGGTGACAGTGGCTTTGTTCAGGGCGTTCCCAAGTGGGGGCCTGTGTCTCACCTCGGCCCCCAAAGCATCCCAACTCTGCCATTTCCTTTGTGCAGATTATTGGGTTTGGCTCTGCTCTCCTCGAAGAAGTCGACCCTAACCCTGCCAACTTTGTGGGAGCCGGCATCATCCACACCAGAACCACCCAGATCGGTTGCTTACTGCGTTTGGAGCCGAATCTACAGGCCCAGGTCAGGCCTCCTAATGAGATGGCTAAATACACTTAAGTTTTTCTTGGGGTGTGACGCACACAGACGCAGATCCCAGTGCAGGGGCTTGGTGAGTTTTGACAGAGTGCACCTGTGCAACCCCCACCAGCTCACAGGCACACCTGACATTTCCACCGCTCCAGAAAGTTGCCTGGTGCCCTTGCTCTCTGCTCCGTTCTCCCCTTGAGGCCGCTGCGTGTCAGCCTGTGTTTCTCAGGTGGCTGTGAGGCACCCCTGCTGGTGGGTTCCCTCCGGCGGCCGGGTTGCTGGGCTGTCCCGGGTCGTCCTGAGCGGAGCTGCTGTGGAGGCCCTTGCACGCACCTGTGTGCAGATGCAGATGTCTGCGTTCCTCTCGCCTGGCAGGGGCCTGTGCACCCGTGAGCCCCCAGGGTCCACGCCCAGGCAGCTTTACAAGAGGCTGCCTCACAGCTCTGCAGAGGGGCTGGGACCTGTGAGCCACCAGTGGTGTCTGAGGTTCCATTGGCTCACATGTGTGCTGTCATGGTCACAGTCAGACATTGTCACTTCAGGTGCTGGAAGCTCGTTTGATACTCAAGTCTCTAAGACAGCAGACGCCTCCGAGAAGGGGATGTGTGTGGCCGCTGCCCAGGTGCTGTGCTGAGTGGGCCCTGGAGGCCACTGACCTGCCGTTCTCGTTTCAGATGTACCGGCTCACGCTGCGGACGAGCAAGGAGACCGTCTCCCAGAGACTGTGCGCTCTGCTGTCGGAGCAGTTTTAGTCCCCGAGGGTGGAGGTCAGGCGTGCGTGCCCGCGTCTCCTCACCTCTGCCACTGTCCGCATTCTGCGCCGCACGCAAGCACCCCCCACGCATGCCGCGGGGCAGGGCTGCCACCTGCCCCCACTGCCGCGTCCCTCCAGTGTGGACGGGAGTGCGGGTGCGCGGTGTAAAAGGAAAGGCTGCGCCTGGACTGCAGCCGGCCTGCGGGGTCAGGAGGGAGCGTGGGTCCTGGGACCAGAGTTTATAGGGATCAAGAGAGTTCCGTGGTTAAATCTACAAATTAAAGGGAAATTAGAAGTTTGAATGAAAATGTACATTTTTGAAATTTTATCAAAATGCCACTGTTGTTGCTGCTTGGAGATGTGGCAGCATTTTATTGTAGGGGCTCAATCTTAATGAGGCCATGTGAGTGTTCTGGAGGGTGACACCAGGGTGACACCAGGAGAGACGTGTGACAAAGTTCCCATGTGGCCCAGCCTGTGGGCACGCAGGCTGCAGGCTGACGGTGGGGTGGCTGTGGCAGCGTCCTGCGTCTAGACGCTAGACATTCTGTTGTTCTTCACCACCAACCATGGGTCTCGGCGAGAGCCCAGCGTCTCCCCTTCCAGCACTGTGTTCTTCAGGGGTGTTTGTGAGGCCGTCTGACTGTGTGACCTTGGGGGGTGGTCACTGTGGCTCTAGAGAGCATGTAGTTTTCACCACAGTGGCTGGGGACTGTTCCCACCTGTGACCGTGGGGGTGGTGGTGAACTGTGACCAGCAGGAAAGACTGGAAGGAGAGCTGGTCTCCTCGAGCTGTCTTTGCAGTTTCCCCCGGGCTCACAGTTGCCATGTTGCTGCTGACCTTGGCCGGCACGGCGGGGGCGGCCAGGAAGTGGAGAGCCTGCCGGGGTGAGCTGGGGCTCGCCCTCCGAGTGCTGCTCTTGTCGCTCAGCTCTCACAGGTGTCACCCTGTGCTGGTCTGCACCCTGAGAGGGATGGCCCAGGAGCAGAGTGCACCAGGGCCTCTGATCAGCCCGTGGGTCGGTGTGTGGAGGGCAGTGGCTCAGGCGGGCAGGTGGTCTGTTGTGGGCACCCAAGGGCCTTGAGGAGCTGGGGGTCTGTTGGCTCCCTCAGTTTCTCAGCAGGCCCCGGGCACCCAGGAGCTGTGCCGCAGACCCCTGTGAGGCCTGTGCTGCAGGGCGGGTCCTGGGGAGGCCGATTCAGGAGACCATCAGGGTGCCAGGGCCCCTGCCACACTGCAGATGCCGACCCCAGGCTCCCACACCCATTATCTGTGTGGCTCTCACAGGGCTGCTCTGTGATCCACGCTGACCTGAGGAGCCAGTGCCTGCCTGTCCTTGGAGCCCTTTGCTGGACACAGTGGACAGTGGCACTGGGTTTGCAGAGAATATCACTGGCGTGGCCGAGCCTCAGGAGTGACGCTCTTTACTTTTGTTCAAGCTGCTGGGCATTGCCCGTGCCCCACAGCTGCCGTGTGGGCCGCCTGCGGGGCGGGACCTCAGACTGGCGTCAGTCAGCGCCTTCCCTGGCACTGGGCCCTGGTTGGAGCGCTGTTGCAGGTGTCGACATCACAAAGTGTATTCCTTGCCCAGGAAAAATGTGCCAGGATGGTGATGGGGGCGTGTGGGTCATCACCAGAGGGGAGGGACAGTGACGGGGATGTGTGGGTCGCCTCTAGGGAAAGCACCCTGTGTGCAGCCTGGGGTCCCGTCCTGTAGGCTGCACTGGCCTGGGACCCCAATGACACAGGCACCTGCCCTTGGACGGGCTGTCCGCCAGAGCTCGGCTGTCTGGGCCGTGGGTAAGCGGAGGCGTACAGGAGAGATCGTGCCTTTTGCTCTGCATGTCGGTTCATTGTGTGGGCCCAGCCTTGCCCTCCACCTCACGGCGCATGTGGGGTAGTTGGCCTCTTGGGGGCCGTGGATCTGAGTGATCTGGGGGACTGGGGTTTCCCTCCTGGGGAGTGAGCCCAGCCACAGCCTGGAGCTGCATCCCACAGGGCGGAGAGCTTCCAGCAGTTCACTGAGCTGGGAGGGCCCCTGACGGTGGGCTGAGAAGGTGAGAGGGCCGACCGGGGCGGCGAGGCTCTTGTGGGGCAGGCGTGGCTCAGGGGTCACGGATGCTTGGGGGCATGGAGACGACAAGCAGAGTTCTAGGCAGTGTCTGTGCGCTGGCCAGTGCCAGTTTATTTACCATCTGTCCACAGGGGCTTGTCTGTCAAGCAGGGTGGCCACGGTGCCCTCCACAGGGTAAGCTCTGTTGCGGCACAGGCATCCCTGATGGCCGGTACTTGCACCCACCCTCCTCCTGCCCTCCCTTCCCGAACTGCTCAGCTCTTCTGCTTGCTGCTTCTTCCCCGCCTGGCCTTGCTTGGGTGCTCCTGTCCGTCTAGACGTCCCTTTGAAGCAGCCTTTGTTTGGGTCCGTGTCTTCTTTCAGCAGGGCTGGGCGGCTGCCTTCCGAGGCTGGGAGGCTGTGTGGACGATGGGAGGCCATGGCCTGGGAGGGTCTTGTGGGGCAGGAGGCCAGTAGTTCATTGCAGCCTGTTGGGCTGGGCCGGGGTCTGCAGGACCCCTGCCCAGCAGCTCCTTCCTGCAGGTGCCTGTGTGGGGTGTGCCCGGGCTTTCGAGGCCAGGCTTGGAAAGGGGCTGCTGGGCGCAGCAAGAGCGGGGCTGGGGGCTCCGTGTGGTGCTCCACCCTCTCACCCCGAGGGCCACGCCCTAGTTTCCGCAGTGCCTGGGGCCACACACGCAGCGTCTGAACACCTGCAGCGTGAGCACCAGCAGCTTCCCTGGGACCGCAGGGTCTGGGCAGGGCAGCACCAGCTGTTTCTCGTAGGAGCTGAGGGGGTGGCAGCAGCTGCACTGGGTGCTCACTTGATTGGTGCTCGTATTGAAGCTGGAAAGGATCCACCACAGGGAGGGTGGGTCAGGGCCACGGCCTCGGGAGGCCCCACGCCTCCCCAGCCACTTGGGAGAAGGGCAGGCCCAGGTGGGGTCCTCAGGGTGTGGCCTCTGTTCCCGACCTTCCTGTCAGGCGGGCAGCCACAGGCTTAGCCACCGAGTGACACTTGGAATCTCTATTGGGCAAGGTGAGCTCCACATTCGGAGCCCGAGAGTGGACAGAGGCAGCTTGGGCCCTCAGCTCACCTGGTGGAGGAGGCACAGACGCCCTCGCAGTGGGTCACGGTCACATTGGCTGTGCACCCCTGATAAGTGATCTCCTCCTCATGCTCCCTAACACTGCAGACCTCTGAGCGGGGGATGGGGAAGGGGACAGGTCATGAGATACCAGCCCCAGGGCATGGTCACAGGGCAGGTGCAGCCTTGGGGGACCCTGCTCTGGACCCTCGAAGGAAGGGCTAGTGTACTCGATGAGTTTTGGGCCCCAGGTCCCCCAAATGCATTCTGGGCTGGTGGGGAGCAGTGCTGGCCCAGTGGGGCCAGGAGGATGCAGGACACCAGCTGCACAGCCCCTGGGAGGGGACGACCCTGGAGGCCTGTCAGCACTGCTGGACCCCACCCTGGCCATCTCCCCTTGTCTGAGCCCCATTGACTTCAGACCTTACATCTGGGACAAAGCCAGCTGGTAGCCCCAAGCTCAAGGGCTTTCTCAGAGGATGGGACAGATTCCTGCACTCGTCCCCAGCCTCCCCAGCTACCTCCCCTGCCAGGTGATACCTACCTGTGGGCATGGGTGGCTCTGTCCTGTCTGGCCCAGAACCTGTGGGAGGAATGTGGGGAGGATGTCAGTGTCCCTAGAGGGGCACTCCCTGCAGGGGTCTTTGGTCCCTGTGTGGATCTGTGAGCTCTGGCCTGCATCCACCCTAGGGACAGAGTTGGTGCGCTACCTCGGGCGCCCTGGCAGCCAGGAGAGCCGTGTTGCCATGGGAAACGCCACTGTGGGACTAAATGAAATGCTAAAGGAGCTTCTTGAGCAAAGACAGGGTGGCCTCCCTGCTTTCCCCGCCCTGCCCAGGCCTCACCCCTGCCTGCTTTGTTCTCCGCTGGTGGAGACAGACCTGGCAGGGGAGGACTCTGGGGGTGTCCTCAGGGGTTCCTGGTGCCCTGGTTGCTCTTCCCTCCTGCGCTCTCTCTCTGGCTCCCTCACCCCACTTCCTGGGGTCTCCTCCCCATGGACAACTTAAACCCAGTCTTTGTCCTCCAGGAGAACCGTGCCACTGTGAACAGTCCTGCCTGGGGCTTGTGAGGGGAGCCCGGTCCAGGCAATGAATGCTGTGGAAGGGACACCCAAATGGGGGCGAGTGGCATTGCTGGAGGACAGGGCAGGTCAGGCAGGCCTTGGGCAGGAGGGCAGAGTATAAGCTGCAGGTGGCTGCAGGGCTGAGCTGGGGCAAGACCGACAGTAGGACAGGGGCTCTGCGTGCACCCCAGCTTCGCCCCCAACTGTCCCCAGGGGTGAGGCATGGCCAGCCAGTCTTTGCTCTCCTTTCTGCAGCCTGGGGGAGGTGGGACTAGTTTCAACCGGAATCCCTGCCAGCCCTTCCCTCTGAGCTCTCATGGGGGCTGCCGAGGGGAGGGGGTTCCCTTCAAGGGGGGCCAGGATCGCAGCAGGGAACAGGGTGGCTGGGGCATGAGAGAGCAAGTCCAGGAGTAGAGGTGGGAAAGGGGACTGACTGGAGGAGGCCAGGTGCCTCGCCGGCCAGACTAGAGCTTGCTGGGGAGGGATCTGAGGAGCAGGGAGAGGAGCTGGGGCCCCGTCCACGAAGGTTGAGAACAGGTCCCAAGGACGAGGCTGACGTGCGGCAGAGATTGAGAGACAGCGGAGGTGTGGGGAAGCCGGGTACGGGAGATGTGACCCAGACAACATCAGGGTACAGCCGAGGACACCAGAGCTGACACCGGTGGTAACGTGCCCAGAGCCTGTAGCTGGTCAGGGGCGAAGCTGGCTCTCCAGCCCAGTGTGTGCTCAGCACCCGGTGCTGCCAGGCTTTCCCCAGGAGGAGCGCAGGCGACAGGGGCGGAGAGGGAGGCGCACCCGCCACTACGGCAGCAGGGTGCTGGGTGTGCTGTGTCACAGCTTGGGGGACAGAAGCAGGGAGGCAACGACAGAGCCCCGGTGGTCGTCAGACAGTGTGCGGAGACAAGAAAAGGCGGGGACTAGGTGGGACTGACCCAGGTGCTGCCGAGTAGAGAGGCCAGGCTGGGAGGAAGGAGCGCACAGTGTCACTAGGTAGTTGGCGGAGACGTCACTTACTGGAGTGGCCGGGTGCGGACGAGACGAGGGAGGACAGAGAAGAGCCTGGAGTGGGGGAGCTGGACAGGAAGGCGGTGGTCAGCAGGCTCGTGGTGCCGGCATGCCTGGTGGTGAGGTTCGTGGCTGGGGAACTGGGGATGGCAGTCACCCCCACAGTGGATGGCACGAGGCTGGTCCTGGGCACTCGGGTGGTGAGAGAAGTGGACTGGGAGGTGGTGGACTGGGAGGACGGGGTGGAGGAGGCCGGTGTGCTGGTGGTGGTCCGGGCCGTGGTGCTAGAGGCGGGGATGTGCGATGGGGTGGGAGCCACTGACGAAGGGTCTAATATGGGGGCGAGTGGAGTCAAGAGTGAGGATGTGTGAGGAGTGGACGCAGCTGGAGAGAAAGAGGCTGTAGACTGAGGGGCAGGATTTGAGATGATAGGGAGTCCAGAGGAGGAGGCAGTGAGGGTGCCTGGTCTCAAGGTTGTGGGAGGCTGGGAGGTGGATGCTACTGAAGTAAATGGGAAAGGGGGGAGAGACTGTTTAGTAGAAGGGGACGTGTGGGAGGACGCTCCGGAGGGAGACGCGGAAGGAGGCCTGCTTGTGGCTGGAGCAGAGGACGCAGAGTGGCTGGGCGAAGGGGCGGAGTGGGGCGGGACCCGAGATGTGGCTGGAACAGCACTGGGAGGGCCGTGGCTTGAGTTTAGGAAAGCGGGAGAAGACACAGGAGGGCGGATGCTGGACCCAGGGGGCTGAGTTAGAGAGGTGCTGACAAGGGAGGTGGAGGCGTGCACAGTGCTGACCAGGTAGTCACCCTGCGTGGTTCCGGTGGTGGTTTCTGTCCCTGGGGGAGTGGAGGGCGGCAGCACTGTGCCTGAGACAGGGGCGTGGGTAGAGGGCCGAGAGGTGCCCGTGGGTGTGGCAGTGGACGGGTTAGGAGAGTGGGTGTGTGGCCGGGTGGGGGTGATAAGTCTGTGGGAAGTAGGAGTGATGGAGGAGGTGTCCGAGTTCGGGACCCGGGTGGATTGGGTCGTCCTGGAGTGAGATGCGGTGGGCAAGGAGGTGGTGGTCCGGGATGAGGTTCCCTTGGCGGGCCCTGTGGAGTGGGAGGAGGTGGAATCGGAACCCGAGTGGGAGGAGGGAGAGGTGAGTGGGGTGTGTGGAGTGCTGGCCGTGTGTGGGGCGGAGGTTCCCGTTCCACTGTGGGTGGGCAGGGGTTGCGTGGTGGTGTGTGGCCTGGAGCTGGTCCCTGAGTGGACGGGGTCAGAAGGGTGTGACGGGAGGGAGGTGGAAGCTTTGTCTGTGCTGACAGAATGAGGGGCCTGCGTGGTTCTGGTGGTAGTTTCTGTCCCTGGGGGAGTGGAGGGCGGCAGCACAGTGCCTGAGACAGGGGCGTGGGTAGAGGGCCGAGAGGTGCCCGTGGGTGTGGCAGTGGACGGGTTAGGAGAGTGGGTGTGTGGCCGGGTGGGGGTGATAAGTCTGTGGGAAGTAGGAGTGATGGAGGAGGTGTCCGAGTTCGGGACCCGGGTGGATTGGGTCGTCCTGGACTGAGATGCGGTGGGCGAGGAGGTGGTGGTCCGGGATGAGGTTCCCTTGGCGGGCCCTGTGGAGTGGGAGGAGGTAGAATCGGAACCCGAGTGGGAGGAGGGAGAGGTGAGTGGGGTGTGTGGGGTGCTGGCCGTGTGTGGGGCGGAGGTTCCCGTTCCACTGTGGGTGGGCAGGGGTTGCGTGGTGGTGTGTGGCCTGGAGCTGGTCCCTGAGTGGACGGGGGCAGAAGGGTGTGACGGGAGGGAGGTGGAAGCTTTGTCTGTGCTGACAGAGTGAGGGGCCTGCGTGGTTCTGGTGGTGGTTTCTGTCCCTGGGGGAGTGGAGGGCGGCAGCACTGTGCCTGAGACAGGGGCGTGGGTAGAGGGCCGAGAGGTGCCCGTGGGTGTGGCAGTGGACGGGTTAGGAGAGTGGGTGTGTGGCCGGGTGGGGGTGATAAGTCTGTGGGATGTAGGAGTGATGGAGGAGGTGTCCGAGTTCGGGACCCGGGTGGATTGGGTCGTCCTGGAGTGAGATGCGGTGGGCGAGGAGGTGGTGGTCCGGGATGAGGTTCCCTTGGCGGGCCCTGTGGAGTGGGAGGAGGTGGGAATGGAACCCGAGTGGGAGGAGGGAGAGGTGAGTGGGGCGTGTGGAGAGGTGCCGGTGGCTGTGACGGGGTGTGCACGTTGGGTTGTGGGCTCTGGACTCCGGCCGGGTGCTGTGCCCGGCGACCCCGACGGGTCCGTAGGTCGCGTCTCGTAGCCTGTGGTTTCGGTGGGGTGCTCATTTGTCGTGTGCTCTGCGGGAATATTATCGGAAAGTTAACTTTTTATCTCTGTTTCTGTCCGAGTTCCTGCTCCAGCTGCCTCTCACTGCTGCCTCTTTTCACTCCGACTGGTCTCGAGGCCCCTGGCAGGACGCCTCCCCCCCCCCCCGATGGCTCTTTTTTCCTTCGGCCTCTCCCCTCGGGTGGTTGTAGTGGGCTCTCCCCAGAGGTGCGCATGGCACCCTCCTTTTTCCCTGCTGAGCGTTAGGTCATCCCTCGTGTCTCCCGTGGTTCTTTGGAGCTTTGGACACGTGCCCCAGGTGGCAGCCCTAAGGCCCTGCAGTTCAGAACCAGTGACTCTGGAAGCTTGTGGTCCCTGGGGATGTGGGCGCACCTGGTGTCCGCATGTCCTCACCTGGTGGGGTGGCCGCGGTGGATGGTCCTGTGGGTGCTGTGGAAGAATGAGGATGAATGTGGTTAGCAGGTGGGCTCAGGCTCGGGGCTCAACAGGCTGTCCCCATCCTTTGGCTGGACGTGTCCCTGACTGCTGGTTGGAGGCCAGGTTCTGGTATGTAGTCCCACCTAGGTCGGATAAGCTGGGCGACGGGGCACCTGTGCGGTGTCTCCTCTGTGAGGACACCAGGGTGGGGTAGCCTTACTTCTGGGTGGCCCTGTGGCCGTTCGTGGTGGTGTTGGGGTTGGCCTTGCCGCTGTGGTGCGCACTGTGGACCGAGCTGTGGACCGTGTAGCTGTGCTGAGCAGCGGTCCTGTGGTCTGTTTTGCGGCCTGTGTCACGGTCGGTCCTTTTGCTGTTGACCTGGGAGTGGTGGTGGGGGCCAGAGGTGATGTCGCTTGCGTGGTGATGGCGGAGGTGGTTTGAGGTGACTCTGCAGAGAACAGGGCTCAGAACATCTCTGGACCATCTGCTTTTGCTTCCTTTTCCTGCTGAGTCGGAGGTCCTTGCCCCGCCTGTGCCACCAGGCCCTGGCCAGGAGGGTGGACTCGACCCCCTCGAAAGGGGCACATGTCTTCCTCTAGCTGACCCTCATGTCATCTCTCAGCTGGCCTGGACTTGGTGGCCTCAGGGGCATTTCAGTGTACCACGGGCTCACTGGGTCACTGGGTATTTCTTCACCTGGCCTCTCGTACCCACCTCTCGTCCCCTCGTGGTCCCTAGGCAGCTGGACGGGGCTGCTGCTCTGTAGGGCGGGATGGCCTCATGGAGGGCTGGCGTGTGCCCCCCTGCACCCGGCTCACCCCAGACGCTTTTAGCGACAGTGTCAGCAGGGGAGGGCCATGTTCTGCGACTAGCTTACCCTCCAAACGCACCTGTGCATGAGCATGTTCTCTGTGGGGAAGTGGGGCCCCCCGTCCCACACCCCCACAGAGCGTGTCTGTGATCCCACACACGTCCTGCCCCTGCTGTGGGGCCTTACCTCCAGCAGAGACGGTGCGTCCTGTCTGGGTGGTCAGGGCTGTTCGTGCCTGGGCAGAGGAGGGTGCTGAGGCTGTGGCCGTGGCTGTTACCGTGGCTGTGGGTGTGAAGCCTGTCCTGGGGGTCCCAGGTGTGGGGGACGAGCTGGCTGAGGGTGCAGTGGAGCTGAGGAGGCCAGTGGTTCTGGGGGTGGCTGTGGTAGGCTTGGCTTCTGTGGAGGGCAGACGGGCCGTACCTGTGTAATAGCCTTTTGAGGAGCCCCTGGCTTGCTTGCTGAGCCTCTGAGCCATGCAGCATCCCCTCCCCACCCCCTACCCCAGGCAGGCGGGGCAGAAGGCACAGTATTGAGCCTGTGGCCCTCCGAGGCACGGTGAGGTCCTGACAGCTTTGCTGTGACAGTGGCTGTGCAGTGGGGTCACAGAGGGGTACCTGTTGGTTGACCAGGAGCTAAGCTTTACTGGGCCCTCCCCTCTGCTTTCCTGGTCAGCACCCCTGTTCCTACAGTGGAGGGCAGCCCAGGTCAGCCCAGGTGCACTGCAGCCCTGCCCCACACGCCGCCCAGGGGCACTGGGACAGAGGCAGGCTGGGCCGATGGGTGTCCAGGGAAGAGCCCAGGGAGGGTGCCTGCTCCACCTTGGCACCTAGTGTGCGTGCAGTTACCTGTGGTGGGTAGTGGCAGTGGTGGTGGCGTGGTAGGCAGCAGCACTGCAAGAGGACAGGTGGTCAGTGCTGTTTTCCTCCTGCTGCCCGCCCGGCCCAGCCCTTCGGTTGTCCCCAGGGCCTGAGTCCGGAGCTCCCCAGAGAGAGAGGTGGCCCTGCTCCTGTGTCCTTTTACCCCCATCTTCGCCCTTTCTCAGCACCGTCCCTTGACCATAGTGTTGGCTTGGCAGCGGGACGCCGTCCAGTGCCGACCTCACGGCAGCTCTCCAGGCCACAGTCTTGGAGCCCCCAGGTGGCTCCTGCTGTGTACCCAGCGGCTGCGGGCTGGGCGTGGGGACTCAGCGCATGGGAAGGGGAGGCCCGCTTGTTCTCCCCGTGTCTGCTCCCCGGGGTCTGGGGGTCTCAGAGCTGCAGGGCACAGCCTGGGGTGGGACTGCTGGAGAGCGGACGGGAGGTGTGTGCGGGTCTGGTGGGTGCGGGCCCACTGACGGCGCTTACTGCATGGCATGCAGGTCCCCGTGTCGTGGTCGAAGTACTCGTCCTGGGAGCAGTTGTAGCAACCTGGGGGCGGTGCCAAGAGCGTGCGGATGGAGCCGGAGGCCCCTCCTCCTCAGGCCTTGATTCCTGCCTTCGCTGTCGCAGCTGCCCCGGCCTCTCCCCTGAGCTGCAGAGGCAGTTGCCCCCTGTCCCCCCATCCCAAGCCACCCTGCACTAGGTGTCTCATCCCCCCCCATCCCACCTGTTGCTGTCCCCAGGCTCCAGGCTGTCCCCTCCACCACCTGTCTTGCCTTGGCCTTCCTGCCCCTTTCCACCCGGGAAGCCGTCAGTCCCCTGGGCCAAGCTTTCCTTCTCTGTGCCCTGTACCTTCGATGTTGGCGTCTGGGAGGCTCTGCAGGTGCTGAGGGCAGAGGCACGGCTGGTAGTGCCATGTGCAGTTGGCCTCCCGGGTGTACTGGAACTGGCCGGTGCCCACCTGCACGTGCGTGTTGTAGAAGTCGCAGTAGATAGCTGAGAGGACAGATGCTGTGAGGGGCCCTGAGCCCGTGCTGGAGCCTGGAGGCTCCGGGTCCCGCATGAGTCCATCTGCCGGGGCTCAGCCTGACACCCACCCAGGAAGGGAGCCAGTGGCGGGGGCCGCCCATCAGGGGTGGGGCGGGGCACTCACGGCAGAAGTCGGGGGTCCTCCAGTCCACGCACACGCCCTTGTCCAGGCAGGCCTGGGCGTAGGCAGCCACGGCGTCGCACAGACACTCACAGTCCCCACCGGTGTCGCAGCCACACGCATCACGCACGCAGGCCTCGTAGTAGGGCAGGTGGTACACCTGTGGGGGCCAGCCGTCAGTGGCCGCTGCCCACTTGCCCTGTGGGCCCGAAGCCCAGCTGTCGTATGGTGGGAGCCCGGCCCCGTGGTGTGTGGCCCACCTGGCTGTGGCAGGCGGCGAAGGTCTGGCTGTTGATGATGCTGCACTTCTGCACGGCCCAGGTGTGGCGGAAGACATTCACGCTGCAGGGGTCCAGCACGAAGCTGGTGTCCCCACACAGCGGGCTCTCCTTCCACGAGTTCACGAACTCCAGCTCGCTGGGTACCACGTACTTGCCGCGCGTCTCAAAGTCGTCCTTCATGTTCCCGTTGTAGTTGCCACACAGGCCGCAGAGGGTGTCCTGTGGGGGGCCAGGGTCAGCTGGTGCATGGGCCCATCCCCCCACCGCCCCACGGCCTGGCAGGGCTGTGCTGTACCTGTGTGGCACGCGAGAGCTTGATGGAGATGGTCATGTGCTTGTTCCAGATAAGGGTCAGGTTGTAGCTGCTGCTGATGGTGATGTCCAGCTGCAGGTGCAGGGAGCCGGCCTTGACCCGGAAGTGCACGTGGGGCTCAGCCCCGCTGACTGTGTGGTTTCTGTCCGCCAGCACAATGGACAGGCCCTGGGGGCAGGGGTGTCACTGGCTGTCTGCCTCCAGGCCTAGGCCACCAAATGCCACCAGCTCTGCCTCCCCACCTGTGTTCTCCCAGGCAGGGTGGACGTGTCCATTAAGGACACATGTGGGCCAGTGCACGCCTTCTGGAGCCTGCTGTGGGCAGAAGGTTCCAGAACATCATGGATACCACACTGAGGGCTGACTCAAACTTCTGGGAGGACTCCCCACTTCCCACCCCTCATGGCTGCTCAGCTCGGAGAGATGCTGCTGCCCATTGGGAGTGGCTAGTGGCACAGAGGCTGCCCTGTGGGGACACCTGCCCCTCCTGCTCACCCCCAGGGAGACTCTGATGGCCCGGGAGCAGGTGACGCCCGACTTCCCGCACACCACATTCTCCGTCAGGATCTTGAAGGTGGGCCGGGAGCCGTTGGTGCCACAGCCGTCCTGTGGGGGGGGAGCGCTGAGGAGGAGCCGGCCAGGAGCTCTGTGCAGCACCCCCGGGCCGCCTCGTGGCCTGCCCCTGTGGCGTCCCTGCCCCCCGTGGCCTCACCGTGGCCAGGATGTACTCGCAGTTGCCCTGGAACACGAAGCGCTGCCCGTCGAAGGTGACCACGTGGCCCTCGCCGTAGAGGGTGCAGGTGGACGAGCAGCGGACACTGTCCTGGCACGTCCACCTGCCCCTCGAACAGGTGCTGAGGAAGGAGCAGGTGCTCGGGTTCTGAGCGACCCGGGCCACATGCACCCTCACAGGATGCTGACCCCTGCCAACCCCAAAGGATCCTGAGGACGGCCCTGAGCCACTGGGGTCCCTAGGGTGGGGCTTAGCTCACCAGGTCTTACAGTCGGTGTGGAGCTCAGCGCCTCGGGGGTATGAAGCCCCCGCAAATTCGCATGGGCACTCCTCAGGGGGCACACAGTGCCCGCTGGCGTTCTCGTAGAGGCCCTCGGTGCAGACGCAGCCGGGCTCACACTTGGTGGGCACCTAAGGGAGGTGGGGTAGCAGTCCTTGGTGGGGTCCTGGCTGTGGGCCATTCAGAGACCCCCCTGCATTCCTTCCAGGCTCACTGCCTGCATCCACTCTGCCCCGGCTTTTCTATTAGCAAAGCCACCCCTCCCTTAGGGAAGGTTCCGGCATGTCTGGGTCTCATGGCTGGGCTGTTGGACTCTTCTTTCTCCCAAGTTGGGGGCTTCCTCAGGGAACCTCACAGATGGAGCACGAGGCCCTCCAGCTGCCCAGGCTCCCTTATCATGTGAGCCACCGGCCACACTTTTCATGTAGGGCAGGGGTGGAGGGGCAGCTCGGCCCCTCCTGAGGGCTCTGGACTTCCTCTCCTGGCCCAGAGAGAGGCTCTGTGTTGGCGACCACAGGAATGGCCAGCACAGGTCCCCCATGCGGAGTGCCCTGCCCCTCGTTTGTCCCAGGCTTACACAGGGGATGCCAGTGGCCAGCATCTGGCAGGTGGGGGCACAGGCTGCCCCAAACTTGCTCTCTGAGGACTGGCTGCAGGATTGGAACGTCTTGGGGGCCAAACAGGCAGCTGCAGGGAAGAGGAGCTGGGTGAGGTGCGCTCAGTGGGGGCCAGGGCTCCTTCTGGTCCAGGTCCACTGCCTTCAGCCAAGCTACGTACCCAGGAGCATCTGTGGCTGCCTGGGGCAGCTCAGCCTCCCGTTTATGCAGTAGCTGAAAGAGAGGCTGTGTGAGCAGGCAGCCCTGGGCGGGGGGCTGCGGGCAGGGTGGGGTGGGGCGGGGCCAGCCACCCTGGACACCTCACACACCAGATGACGCCATTGACCATGGTGGACTGGCCGGCCAGGACGAGCTTGTGGTCGTCCAGGAGGCAGGGACACTGGGCCTTGCGCACACACTCAGCTTTGTGGTTGAGGTAGGTGCCCTCTGGGCAGTTACAGCCTTCCACGGGAGCGGTGCTGGGGTGGCACTCGGCTGCGCGGTTGGACAGTGAGAGGCATGTATGGCCGCAGGCCCGGCTGTCATAGCTGAATGTCTGGTTGCCCGTGCAGGGGATGGCTGCAGGAAACCTGGGTGTCAGGTCCCCAGAGGATGGCCGACAGGGCTCAGGCCCTGGGCCCTCATGGTGACCCCACCCTTTGCATGACCCCAGAGCCCCTGCTGTCCATGCTGTGTGGCCTCACGCACTGCAGTTGTCCACGCTGCTTCTCCAGCCCGAGAGCAGGACACCCCGAGCGGCACACGTGTGGGCGTAGGCCCCCAGTGCGGCGCAGACGTGCAGGAAGGTCTCCTTGTAGTTGCAGGCCTGGTACACACACCTCTGTGGGCGGACAGGAGCGTCGGCACCTGCCCTCCCCCTGCCCAGAGTCCCTGAGGCACCCCCACGGCAGCCCTCCTGGCTGCCCACAGGCCCTGCCCACCTTGTAGAAGGGCTTGGGGTTCACCGCACCATGGCACTTCTCGAACACCGTCCCCTTGCTCACCAGTGCTGCGCAGTGGGTCTCCGCATACACCTCTGTGGGGACAGGCCCAGTGGGTCTCCTGCCCGCCTGGCCTGGGTCTCCCGCCTGCCCCGAAGCCCCCGGGGCCGGGCACTCACTGTTGAGCTGGCTCATGGAGCAGGGGTCGGTCTCGCGCTCCAGGGCAGCGGGGCAGTTCCCGGCCCGCCAGGAGTCCACGAAGAGCGAGGCGGTGCCCTCGGCGACCCCCACGCTGCTCCTGAGGTCGTCTGTCGTGTCCCCGTTGAAGTTGCCGCAGAGCCCTGCGCAGGCCGGGCTGTGAGGGTGGGCCGGCCTGCACCCCTGCCCTGCCCTGCCTCCCACTGACCAAGCCCTGGGCAAGAGGCCAGCACCCTCAGGAGGGCCGGCTGCTGTGAGGAGCTGGACTTGCTGGGTCCATGTGAGACTCTGAGGCCCCTTTGCTTCTGGCGTGGTCAGGCCAGTTGGGCCATGGCCTCCAGGCTGGCCCTGGGGCGGCGTGGGAGGGACTCACCTCTGGTCTGGCCTCTGAACTGGGGCTCGGCTGTGATGTACGCCTGGAACACGGGCTGCAGCTGCACCACGAGCTCCAGCCCGAAGGTGGTGGCCATCTGGAGGTGGGTGGACGTCTGCCTGAACACCGTGATGTTGCCTGTGGGGAGAGGGCTCAGCAGGCGGCCTCCTCTGGGACCCGCCCCGGGGCTGTGCAGGGGCTGCCCACGCACCGGTCTTGTATGGTAGCCACTTGGTGTCTCCATTGTTGGTGATCACCTCGTCTTGGGAAATCACAATTTTGTCCTGGAGGGAGGGCGGGCCCAGTCACTGGGGTGCCAGGAGTGCGGGGACCTACGGGCCACATGGGGAGCAGCAGGTGCGGGACGCACGGCTGCCTGGGGACCTAGGTGGGCGCAGCAGCCACAGGCAGTGGCCTCACCTGGCTGGACATGTAGATGAGTGCGACCAGGGAGGTCTCCGAGTGCGAGTACCCAGACTTGTCGTACACGGCCAAGAGGGAGCCCCCGTCGGGGAGCTGTGGGCTCTGGGGGAAGGGCAGTGAACACGGAGGTCCGGGACTTCTGGTGGCCCCCCTGCCAAAACCCCTTGTGAGACCCCCACCCTGGGGTGACCCCTTTGGGCAAGACCGCTGGGCGAGTCCCTGTGGCGGGCCCGCCCCACCTGGAGGAGGACGTAGGTGCACGTCCCATGGAAGCGGTAGGGCCTGGCGTCGAACGTGGTCACAAAAGAACCGCCTTCCAGGGCACAGCTCCGGGGGCAGGGCCGCTCCTCGCATTTCCAGCGTCCCATGGTGCACTGGCTGTGGGTGGGGAGGGCCACCCAGAGTGGTGGGCAGGGCTGCAGGGCCAGGTGGCAGGCACCCCAGGGTGCTCTGGGCCAGCGGAGCTGGCTGCCTCTGCTGCTGCCTTGATACCCAGGCCCCCCACATGCCCTCCTGTCCTTGGGCCCTCACCGGCTGCTGCACTCACCAGGTGCGGCAGGCGTCCGCAGTGACCTCGCCGGGGGCGTAGGCCACCCCGCCGAGCGTGCAGGGGCACTGGGCAAGTGGCACGCAGGTGAGGTTTGTTGAAATGTCGTCAAGAACCATACCTGCAGAAAGGGGCTTCCTGAGGCTGTATGGCCAAACACCTCCCCCCCGACTGGTGCCTCGGGAGGCCCTCATCTCCACATCCATCTTCACGCCCACCTGAGCACGTGTCCTGCCTCTGGTCTGGCTCAGAGCCCACCTCCTAGCTGCCTCTTGGACCCTGCAGTGGACACGAGCTCACTATCCTGTGGATTTGTACCCGTGGCCATAGGCGCACTTTGGGGGCGGCAGGCGGTTTCTGGTCCCAATGTGCCTGGTGGTGTCCTGTTCTGGGTGGGGTGGGGGCTGATGCCCTGCCTTTGGGCTTGTGGAAGGGGCCTCTCGGGGAGCAGCACCTCACCTTCTGGGCAGAAGCAGCCAAAGGTGCAGAAGCTGGCACAGCTGTGCTGTGGGTTGGAGCAGGTCTTGACGCAGGCCTCGCCACACTCCTGGTACACCTGGTTGGCCGGGCATGGGCCCAGGGCTGCAGGTACGTGGGGCCCTGGTGAGAAGGCAGGCACCCCATGGCCCTGCCCAGCCCCTGCAGTGGGTGTCCTGCCTCGTGGAGGAGGTGGCATTTGGGGTCCTGCTCTCCCCCTCCCTCCCTCGGGACTCACAGCAGAGGCTGGGGCCCCGCCAGCGGCTGACGGGCTGGCCGGCCAGGCTGCACTGGCGTGAGTACTCGGACAGTGTGGCGCAGCCGCAGCTCTGCTGGCCTGGCTGGGCACAGGCGGCCAAGTCTGCCTGGCAGCTCTGCAGGAAGGGCTCCGTGGGCACATTGCACTCGGGGGCCACCAGGGTCAGCAGCTGGGTGCAGGTCCGGGCCTGGGCAGAGAGCCACTAGGTCAAGGGGGGAAGGTCACGTCCCACACCCAGTGTTTTGCTCTGGAAGTCTGCAGCTGGCCCCCCGTGGCTGAAGGGCACTTGGGCCCCGGGTAGCCTGACCATCTCACGCACATGCTCTGCCCGTAGGACCCGGGGGCTGGGGACGGCCTTGTGGGCGCAGATCTCGTTGGGGTCGTCCAGCCTCTGCAGGGCCACATACTTGTGGGGCTCCAGGAGCTCGCCTGTGGTGGGGGTGGTCCAGGTCAGCACCGCAAGGCTGGCCACACAGGGGCCCAGGCCCGCCCACACCTACCGTCCTCGCTCAGAAACTCGTTGGTCCTCCGGCCGTCGAAGTTCCCGCAGAGCCCGCACATCCTGCCCCTGTGCTTGTCCTCCACCAGCACCTGGGGTGGCGAGGCGGCACTGCTGGGTGTGAGGGGGGTGGCGGGGGCTGCCAAGGCTCCAGGACCCCACGGCCAGATGCAGAGGCTGCCCTGCCCATGCCCTCTGCGGGGCCCCAGGACACCCTCCGCATGTGGATCATAGCTGCCCTCCCTGCCCCTCCCTGGGGACTCCTTTTCTCCCAGGATGGTCCTTGTCTTTAAGAGGAAGCTGAGCTGCCGGCCACGCCCAGGCCCGCCCAGGCTCCTGGCTGGGGTCAGCGCCACGTGGCAGGAGCTGGAGGGCTGGTCGGGACCCCCACCCCAAGGGGGCAGCCTTCAATTCTGCTTACCAGGTGCCTGTCCCCAGGTGTAGCCGCCCCCACCCCACCCATGTTCTCACCATGAGGTGGGTGCCTGGGTCCCATACCACCACCAGCTCCAGCTCCAGCTGCTTCGCCACCAGCCGAACACTCTGGCCAAAGGGGGTGATCTGCAGCCCGTTGCTGGTGTAGGGCAGGCTGACGGCCCTGTGGGGTGAGAGCAGTCAGTGGTGGCCCCCTCTGTCCCCTGGCCACGAACTCCCTCAGCCCCCAGGTGTCTGGCCACGCCTCCTACCCCACGTCTCTGACGGAGACGCCCCCCTGCCGCACAGTGACCGCAGAGGACCCCAGCTCCACAATGACCCTGGAGATGTTGCCACCAGGTTCTCGCCTCAGCTGGACACTGAAGGTGGGCGAGGTGTCCTCACAGATGGCCGCGAAGACATAGTTGCAGGTCCCCTCAAAGTCATACATGTGGCCATCGAAGGTGGAGAAGTGGCCAGCCCCCCATGTGGAGCACCAGCCCCTGCCCGGAGCTGTGGAGAGAAGGTGGAGTTGTGGAATTCTTTGCCCCCTGGCTGGCATGGGCGGTTCAGGGCAGCCTGTTTGCAAGAGATGGGCCCCTGGGGACCTCATGCTCAGCTCAGAGACAAGTTCCATCCGCCCCAGACCCTCCCAGGGCAGGGGAATGAGGCCCTACCCCATGCCCAGAGCTGGGGACTGCCCCCTGTGGCCCTAGGTGGGGGGTCTCCATGTCACCAATGCTGGGTGCTGTAGGAGACAGTGTTGTAGCCCAGCCCCCACCCCATCCCCCCCCCCCCGCCTGATAGCACAGGCCTCCCCCCCCCCAGTTGAACAGCTCCCACGGCTCTCCTGTGACTGATGCCCCTCGTGGAAAACCCAGATTCTGGCTATCCTGAGGCAGGGCCGTGGTCCTCACCTGTTTGTGACGAGTCCTTTGGCCCCTGGAGGCCTGGGTGGGCAAAGGAGGTGTGGTCCAGACCTGCGTGGACAGGGCACATGGTCAGTGCTGCGACCAGCTGCCTGTGCCCTGGTGCTCAGAGGTGAGCTATGAGCAGGGCGCAGGGGTGGGTGGGGACCATGTGCTGGCCCCAGGCCTGAGTCCGGCCCTGGTGCGCTCTCCGCACCTCCAGCTTCTCCGGTGCATCCCTCCCCAGTTCACTTGCTCGTTCACTCAGTCACTTACCAGATCCGTGTGGAGTGGGCACCAGTTTTGGGCCTGTCACCGCTGGGTACAGGAGACACAGTGGGGACGAGGTCCCTGCTCCCGAGAGCCCCCAAGGAAGGTGCGGTGCGCACATACCCTAACCGAGTGCACACACCCGTTCTCACGTGCTCGTGGGCTGTGAGCATGGCCGAGGCCTCGGAGATGGCAGCCAGGTTGGCTAGGAGCGTGGGGGTCCGGGCTGACGGGTGCTGACATGCTCGCTGCCTCTGGTGCCCCGGGCCCCAGGCCTCTGCTGGTTGGCCCGACGGGCTCCCCTCTCTCCTGCATTCCTGGGCGTGCCGGGCCCCTCAGGTTGATGGGGGACCCCAAGTGCAGGACAGACGCAGCCGTGGGGTAACTGGGCTGTCAGCTCAGCTGACTCTGGGCAGGCTCACGTGTGTCTGGTCTCACTGGGGGTGGTCTGTGGGCAGGCGGGGAGCAGAACAGCAGCAGAGGAGCTCTGTGGAGGGGAACCCCTCTCTCTGGCTGCACCCTGTGTTCTCAGCTCGGTCTGCCGGGGCTCCTGCTGAGTTCCTCCTTCTCTTCCCCTGCCCGTTAGCCTCCCAGAGAATCCTGGGGCTGCGGTGACCATTGCCAGAGAAATGCCCAGGTGACATGGGTCACAGTGGCTGCGGGGGCAGGATCCAGCTTCCCAATGGGGTGGTGACCCCGGGCCCAGCTGTCCTCTCCACAGGGTATCAGGCAGGGCTGGTCTCTGCTCACTCACCTCTGTGGTCCCGAGTCTCACTCCCCAAGCCTCACCTGACGTGGCCCCTCTGCCGGCTCCTCATCCCTTGGTGCCACCTCCCAGAGCCGTCACATCTCCCGTCCTTCTCTGCTGTGTCACCACCTGGGCCGGTGGCCTCCAGCTCTGTCTGAACTACGACCCCCCCACACCTTAGCAGCGGGGGCTCCTTTGAAGATGCTCAGGAACCCGCTGTGCTCCCCACCGCTGTTGGACCGCTGACCCCTGGCCGGGCCCGCCAGAACTGCAGGGCGGCTGGCACGTCAGCCCCCAGGCCCCAGATCAGCCCTGCGGTGCCCAGATCAGTCGCCGTTCCTTCTACACGCTCGGCAGCCCTGGGAGGGGCTGCCTTCCCGGCCCCACCACCTCAGGCCCCCGAGACCCAGGCGTCACACCTCATGCCTCTGGTCCCAGAGGGCAGGGCCCCTCCTTCCCTCCCCGCTCCGTCCCAGTCCAGCAAAGGTGGTGCTGAGTTTCCGACAGGGCCTGCCACCCCCACCCTGCCCCACTCACAGCCCAGGCCCCCTCGGCTCCCCAAGCCTGCCTCTCCCCCAGCTGGCTCCAGTGCACCCCCCTCTTTGCCCCGTTCTGGGCTCAGGTCGGGGAGGTTGCCTCGGTCAGGCTGGGGTCCTCAGTGCACCCAGCCACCCCTGGTGGGGACATGGGGCCACCAGGGAGGGGGCAGCAGGCCAAGGACTAAGGAGAGAGGAGGGGTGAGTCCCCTTGGGCTCAGCCACCTGGACTCGCCGGCAGGTGGAGAACACACGGAGCCTGGTGCCAGCAGTCGCTGAGGAGGGCCTTCCCCTCGGGCCCCTCACCCCTCAGTGACCCTGCCCAGGGTTGGGGCAGGTGTGGAAACCACCAGTGAGCCCGTGGCATCGGCAGTGCTGGGTGTTGCTCAGAGGGATGAGGATGAGGTGGCAGAGAGGAGGAAGGGACCCGTGGGTGGGATTGGGTGGGTTTGTGGTGGCCACTGAGGGGTGTTGCCCCTATTTCCACAGACAAGGAAACCGAGGCCCAGTGCCCACTGACTGGTCATCATTCCCAGCTAGGACCTATGGAGCCAGTTCTCCACAGGGGCTTTGTGGCCTCACGTCACTCTGGCCACCCTGGTGGACTCCTGGCGACCCCTCAGGACCCGTGGCCCAGTGGGAGGGTGGGAGTGCTCAGCTCCGGGCCGAGCCCTCCACTGTCTGCCCAGCATGAGCTCTGACACTCCAGCTACTGTGGAGGAGACTGCGTGTCCCTGTGGGGCCCCGCCCACTGCAGCCCTGAGTCCATCCTCCTGAGCACTTGGCTTTGGCACCCTCTGACCCTCACTGGTTGGCTGACCCAGGCCTTGGCCACAGAGAGATGGGAGCCTCCCATCCGTCCACGTCCTCGAGGCCAGCCCGCCTTCAGCCACATCAGAGAGCTGAGCAACTGGGCGGGCTTTCCCACACCAAGGGGTCTCGAGGGGCTCCTGGCTGTCCCCCGGGCTTAGCCCACGGGCCTGCACTCACCGGTGCAGAGCAGGGTGCCCCCACAGGACAGGAGCAGCAGCAGCTGTGGCCCCAGCATGGTGAGTGGAGAAGAGAGGTCACTGCGGGACCTGGCCCCTTCCGCCGCTGGACATTGGGCAGATCCGAGGCACCTGTGCGACAGAATAGCCAGCCTGGGACACCTTATATAGGGGCGGCGGGCCCTGCCCCTACCCCACCCACCTGCACCCCACGCTCCAGCCCTGTAATGGGCCATCGTTGGCCGGGTGCAGTGGCGGCCAAACAGGATCTCGGGTGCCGCTTTATCAGGACTCGGACGTCTTGGGAAAATTGTTCCTGTTATTGCTCGCTTCCAAGCAGGACCTCCCTCTAGGGCCCTGCAGACACCTCCCCCATCTGCTCCAGGCTGTGATTGCCAGGGGTCATCCTGGGAGATGGTTCCGGGGGACAGTTCCGGGGCGGGGGTCAGCCTGGGCACCGCCAGCTCCAGCCCAGGAGCCCAAAATGTTAGCGCAGCTTCTAGGGTGGCTTCTATGCCCCCAGACCTCAGGACCCCTAAAAGGCACCAGCATTCCAGGCCCCACCCCTGTGCTTGGCAGAGAGACCCAGGCAGGCAGACCGCCCTTCTGGTGGGGTCCCCGGTGAGAGGCCGTCACACTGGGCAGCCTGCCATGGAGCTCAGACAGGACAGTGGCCTGGAGGCTGGTACCATGTGCTGGGGCGTGGGGGCCCTTCCTGGAGACCTCTCCCCGGCCAGTCTCCTGGGAGACTGCATCTTAGGGGCTCCCAGGACTGTTTTCTGCCCCCCAGTTGAGCTCTTTGACTTACAAAAGCAGCATCAGGTGACCTGGGGGGGGGCTTCCCACCTGGAGCATTTCCATGGGGTCGTGCCAGCCTCAGGTTGCTGGCCCCCAGGGAGGACGGTGTGGTTCCTGGGGGCCACATCTCTGGGAGCAGGAGTGGCAGGCCGGGGCCCTTGTCCACGGGCAGGGTGTATGCTGGCACCTCGAGGGATCGGACTAAAGGTCAGGATGAGGGTCGTGGTCAGGGTGAGGTGAGGGTTGAGGTCATGGGTATTTTGGGTCCTCTGTGGGTCCCTCTCTCAGTTGGGGAGCAGGGTGGGTCTGACTGCTCTCCAGGGCAGTCCAGCCCCAAGTGGGACCCCACACAGGAACTCGGGGCCTGGCTAGAGGGGACTCCCCTTTTCCAAGGGTGGTTCTGTCTCCACAGAGACATGGGGCCCCTTCCGCTGAGGAGCTGCGTCTGGGCTGCTGGCCAGTCCCAGGCCCTAGCCCCCAACGTGGGGCCGTGCACTGGGTCACACACCCCTGGGCCTGCGTGGTCTGGCTCAGCTGCCCCTCCCCACAGCTGGAGGCCCAGCCACACAGATGCAGGAGGTGCCACTTGTTTACCTGAAGTAAACTTCAGTTTTAATGGAAAATTGTTCTTACGGAAACTGCTCAGTGAGCTGTTGGCCCTCCGGTGCCAGATGCTGTCTCAGTTCTTTCTCCTTAAGCTCGAGCAGGCCCTGGAACCCCTGGCCCAGGAGTGCACCCCACCCAGCAGGACAAGAGGCCGGAGCCATCGCAGAACTGGGGGAGGAGGTCCTGGGGTGCCCTGCTGGGTGCACTGCAGCGAGGGGCCGTGCAGAAAGGGGCTGCCCCGGGGCCTCCCCGTCCCTTGGAGAACTCCTGCAGTCATGGGGGCTCCTGAAGCTCCAGGAGTCTCAGCGACAAGGGTGGGCTTCCCTGCAGGCCTCAGTCCTGGCCTGGGTGTGGAAGGGCTGATGTGTCAGACCTCAGGTCAGGCAGCATGGGGGGCCCGGAACCCCAGTGGGAAAGTGCTTGGGGGCCGCCCAGGTCGGCTCCCACCACACAGAGCCACGGGGCCTGGGTGTGGCCTGAGGGGGTGAGTGAGGCTGTTCCCTGGGGTCCCTGTGACCGGGCTGGCAGTGGAGCTGAGCCCTGGGCCTTGTTCTCTGGGGGCCCATGGTGCAGGGCCCCCAGCGGCTTTACCTGTCCCCCAGGGGCGCGCTGCTCGGCCACCGGCCTGCCTGCCGCCCGCCCACAGGCACCTGCCCCAGGTCCCTGGCCTGGCTGCTCGGACCCCCCCACAGCCCCCAGTGTCCCCCAGCTTCTCCCTCCTGCTGCCACCCCCACCCCTTCTCTCCTCAGTGTCCTGCACTGGGAGCTCCGGGGTTTCCCAGCCTCACCCCATGGGGGTCTGTCTGGTCTCTGGGTGCCCGGCATCTGGAAGGCAGTGCAAGGAACAGGTGGAGGACGAGGCCAGAGGGAGTGAGCCGTGGTCCCAGGACACTGACCTACAGGGCCCGGGGAGGGGCTGGGGCTGTGTTGGGGTCTCCCGTGTCACCCCCAGCACCTTGAGGGACACAGGTGTGACCCTGGTGGGGGTTTGGATGTCACCTGGGCAACAATGGGCCCCTTGCCCAGAGCCTGGACTGAGATGCTCATGTATGTGTGTGCTGTATGCACATGTGTGTTTGCATCATGTGCTCATGTGAGCATGTGTGTACCTGCTGTTTGTGCATTAGATGCATGTGCCGCATGTGTGCCGTGCACATACCGCGTGTGAGCATGTGCGTGTGTATTTACGTGTCATGTCATGTGCTGTGCGAGAAGGCGTGCACATGTAACTGCAGTACATGTGCCACATGTGCAAGCACATGTAACCGCATGTGCCATGCATGTGTTGTATGGGGCATTCGTGCACACCTGTGCATGCACACGTGCATCTGTGCAAGTATGAGATGCGGTTTGAGTTTCCTGGAAAAAGCTGTGCTGTGTGTTCCAGGATCTGTGACCGCAGGGCTGCTCGGCCTCCGGAGTTTCGGTTGGTGGATGATGGCTCAGGGTGGGGGTTCCAGGGCTGTGCGGGGTGGGGGGCATCATGGGGAGTTGGGGAGAATGGCGTGTTTGTGGCTGACCCGGGAGCGCTCAAACACGCTGAGCAAACAGTGGGGAGATAAGAGTGTGCACGGCCATTGTTCCCAGAGGCCTCGGTGATAAGAGCACAGCCCGCTGGCCGGCCCAGGGAAGCGGAACCCGCCGGCTGGACAAGGGGGCAATTGTGCGCCCTCACGCCCCAGCTCAGACCCCCGCTGGGCTCTCCGTGGGTGTGGCCCGCCCTGAGCTGCACCCGTCACCCCGTCCTCCGGGGCCAGGCTGCTCGGAGGTAGGGAGCCTTGCGGGCCCTGAGGCCTGGCCCAGCCTCGGAGTCAGTGAACGGGAAGGGCCTGTGCCCCGCTTGCCCCTTCCTGACTTAATGAGGAGCAGGGGCCCTGTCCCTGAGGCCCTGGCTGCTGGGCAGCCCTGACCCGACCTTTGCCGGGGACTGGGAGCTTGGGGACTGCTTGAGCAGGTGCTTCCGGAAGGCTCCAGAATGGGCCACCTCGGTCCCGTCACGGGCAGAAAGCCCCCACTCCCTGCGTGTGGTGGACTCTGGTTAGGAGGTGCCAGAGCGCATACTGGTCAGCCCGCCCTCCTGATCCCCCCCAGTCAGGTGCGACGTTCCCTGAGGGGGGCAGATGGGGGCCTCCCTGCCCCCACACGGGGCTGCCCTGACCATCGGTCACATCAAAGGACTGACAGCAACGGCTTTCGGGCGAGCTGGGGAAGAATCCCAGTGCGGGCGTGGAACTGGCCTTCGTGTGGCTGTGTCTGGGTCCGGCCGGCTGCCCTCGCCTGTCCGCGGCGGGTCCCGGGCGGCGGGCAGGATGGGCCGCTCCCCGGCAGAGCCGGTGCGACTTCCCGCCGACTGGGTGCAGAGCTGGGACGGCCGTGGACCCCTGGCTGGTGGGGCCGAGGTGTCGCCCAGCCTGGGAGCTGTCGCTTGCCTGCTGCCTGGGAGCTGGGGAGGCCCAGGAGACTCCACCACCCGAGCAGGTCCAGACTTCTGCCCAGTGGCCTGCAGCCCCTTCTCCCTGTAATCTCGCCTCACTGGGGACCCTCACCCCAGGGCTGCAGGCCCAGCGGGCCCCCAGGTTTTCCCTTCCAGACACTGCCCCCACCCCTCTCCCGAGCCAGCACCACAGGCCCCAGGAAGGGCACTCACCCCACGGACCTCCGCCCTCACTGACTTCCCGTGACACCACCTGTGCCTGTTTGCACTTTCAGCCCCTGCCCCTGAATTGGGGGTGACATTGTCCCTGACCTGGGCCCCTGCCTTTCCTTCTGGGCTCAGGCCCCCTCGGGGCAGCCTCAGTGCTGGCCATTCCTGCTGCCCCACGGCGTGGCCGTCAGGGGAGGAGGACACCTCGCCCAGGCTGCAGGAGGGGTCCTGGCGGCGGCGGCCGGCTCCCGGCCAGCGTGGTTCGGGAGCCGGTAACCGGGACGTTGGTGGTCACGGGTCTGGCTGCCACAGGCGTGGTGGAGCTGGTGGTGAGCCGGCCAGCGCTCCCTGCGCACTGTGGGCCTTTTGGTCCGTTTTAGGTGCTGGCCCTGGGCTGGGCCCCGACGGGCACCACAGACAGCAGGAGCCAGTGTCAGGAGGGGGTGGCAGCTATGGGGCAGCCTGAACCATGTGGACAAGGAGAGCCAACCCACCCTCCCCATCAGGGAGGGCTCACCTGGGGGTGGGGCCTGGCCAGGAGCTTTGGGCAGCGTCCAGGGTGGCCCCACCTGGTGGGGCTCAGCACAGCCCCTCGGCTTGGCTGCCATGCTTGACCCCTTGATTCCATCCCCTCTCGGCATCTCTGACTCCACTGTGGCTACACCCCCAAATGCTGCCTCCTGCTCACGTACCCTCCAGCCCCACGATGGGGACCCCGGGCTGCCCCTCTGATGCTCACTGGCTCATGTCCACGTGTGTGGAGGGACCGCGAGCCCTTAGCCCTGGCTCGTTCCTGCCCAACCCTGAGAACTACCCCCACCCTGGATGAGCAGACCCTTGCCCGCCCCCTGCCGGTCCACGCCAACGGCCATTGGACATCGGGCAGAAAGCAAACAGATAGGGCTGGCCAGGTGGAAGGTGGAGTTGGGCCGGCCGCAGGATGGGTGAGCCTCAGGCCTGGGTGGGAGCACCTGGGTGGCCTTCGCCTTTCAGGTGCAGGGGTAGCAGGTCAGCGGTGTTTGTTCTCTGCTGGTGGCC